GGAAAGAAAACTAGTTATGCATTCAATAAATATTATTGAGTGCCTTCTATGTGCTAGGCATCTTTCTGGGTCTTGGGATAGGTAGGGTCAGAAGTGTATGTGTGGGCTTTTATTTAAATGGGGTAGTTGTGAAAAGCTTGTCTAGTGGGGTAATTTTTTACAGAGACTTGAAGTGAGGGACTGAGCAAGTAAGCGGCTCTCTGGGGTAAGAGTATTGCAGGCAGCAAGTCCAAAAGCCTGTGGTAGGAAACAGCTTGTGCAGAGGACATAACTGGCTGCATAGTCAATTTGCTTAAATCTCATTTTGTTTAACAGTTTAGTTTTAGATGATTGTAATTCTATCTAGAGCATCTAAAGAGATGCTCAGTTTAGCTTTGTTCAGTCCTGACTGCAGCTGGAGAGAAAAGGGTAAGGAGAGGGCTGTATTAAAAAGATTAAACTGGATAAAGGTGGGGCCGGATCTAGAAGACTTGAATGCCAGACTATAGAGCTCAGATTTGATCTTAAGAGGGAATTACTGAATGTAAAAATTTGCTCAATTATGTTCAAATATACTGACATCTTCAGGGATTAACAAGGCTGTTCCTACATTAAAACATGATGACTGCTTTCTTTTCTAACATGGCCAGGTAAAAGAGATGGACATCCAGTTGATTCTGAATAAGGCACACAGAAAGGAGATCCTTAACCATTTTTACTAAGAAGTGGCAAAAGAAAAGCCTAAATATTGTTACCTGTGCAATACTGTGTTGATTCAAAAATTCTTTTCAGATGACCACTCAGAAGACAGTATCATAGACTATGATCAATTTTGTCATATCTACTCTTAAGTGGTATTTGTTGATAGAATCAAAAAAGCAAGCTGGTAGAATTTCATTGGTGGGACTAAAACATTAAGGATAAACACTTCTAACGCCATTTTCATTTTAACAGAAAGGTATTTGTCTAGTCTAGAGAGAGTACAGTATGAAAGAGAGTAATGAAGGGCTTTAGTGGTAATCTATAAAATGACAGGGTTAGACTATATGATATCTAAAGTCCTTTTCTAGCTCTACATTTTATGATTATTGCATATGATTAGAAAAGTGTACTAGAAAGTGACAAAACATAACAGCTAACAGGACTGTACACTTCAACCTTTATATCCCTCCTTATCTCTTGTAGCGTACCTGGTATATAGTAAGTTCTCAAACATTTGATTAATGAATAAATTAATTAGTAAGTTATAAAAAGTAGACATGGAATTCAAGAAAGCAATATATTCATTTAGAGTTGAGGTAAACATGTATACTTCTCTAAGAGAACCAACATTATCACAGTAGAGTACAATGGTTGGCAATAACAAGAAATTCCAATGAGGACCTCGAGGCATCAAAAATAGTTAAATAATGTGCCCAATTTCTTTACAAAATTAGGAAAGTGAGAAGATCATGCTTTATGTTAATCATTGAAGATGGTTAAAACACTATCACTTAACAAGGGTAACATTGAATTTTCTGGGAGATTGACTCACATAGAAAAGCTCATTCTTCTGTTATGTTTAATGAAGAGGTGTTAAAACTAATTCTCTTCAATAGTTGCAAGTGAATATGAACCAAGTGGAACAGGCAAGTCCTCATCTTATATCTAGCTACTGTTCTCCCTAGATAAAGTTTAAGCCAATTAAGTCAAAGATTATATGAAAGTATAATAAATTTTACTTAATTCATTGATTGTATGTACTGATACCTTCTTCAAAAGCAATCAGATCATGTTATGGACCTCATCTTGTTCTCCTGTTCCAATGACTCCCCAGCATAAGAATAAAATGTAAACTCCTTACCATGTTCTGTGGGTTCTACATCTGTGGGTTCTGTGGGTTCTACCTCTCCATCTCTGTCTCCAAATGTTATCCCACCTCTCAATTATTGTTTCAATTACACTGTCCTTAGTGTTCCTTCAACACTTCAGTCTCGTTCTGGCCTCATGGCCTCTGCACCTTCTCTTCTCTTTGCCTGGAAGGCTCTGCCTTCAGATATTCGCAAATCTTAATATCTCAGTTCATCATTCAGGTCTCTTTTCATATGTCACTTCACAGAGGCTTTCCCTATAGATTCCATTCAAAACTGTATCACCGTGCCCTTGCCTCTCTAATCCCCTGCCTGCTTTATTTTTCTTCCTATGGAAAATATATATTATTTGGTTACATAGTTATTGCTTATTTACCTTCTAAAATGTAAGCACTATGAGAGTATGGACTTCATCTGCACTCCAGAATCTAGAAGAGGGCTTGTCAAATATTTAGGATTTATTACATACTTGTTGAATAACTGAATGAAATAATGCAAAGTTTCAAGATACGTGTGCAAAAAACAAGTGTAGAATAGTGGACCTGGCATTCAAACATTTGTATTTTCAAAAGATATATACATATTTGTACATGCATGGGCTCTCTCAGGAAGAGAACAGAGGAAATTGATAATACCAGTTGCTTGATGATGGAAAAATATGAGGGTCTGGGTGACAGGCAGGCTTACTTTCTACTTTATATCCTTCTGTATTATTTGGATTTTAAACAAGTCTAGGTATTTTTATTTAAAAAACAAAGCAAAACAAAACAAGATTAAAATTTACCTTAAACACAAACTTTCATTTAGTAACAATTATGGAATACTTTCTCCTGAGCTCTTATTCTACAAATACAAATGTGCTAAGCAATTTACATACTTCTCATTTAATCCCTGTAACAATCCTATGACATAGGTATTATTATCATACCTATTTTATATAGAGAGAAAATGTAGTATAGACAGATTAAGTTAACTGGCCGAAGTCACACTACTGGAAGCACAAGACGTAGAATTTGAACTCAGACTGACTGAATCTAAAGCTCAAGTATTTAATCATCACTCTCCATGATGTAAATATATAACCCCCAGAAACTTTCTGATAGAAGTTAAAACTATTTGCCTACTTTTGATAGAAAACCTCAGGGCCTAGTACTGGGGCTCCTGAATGAATGCTGAAATAAAACTGAAAATTCATGATTTCTCTGTGCTTGCTGGATAACACACACAGTTACCTGTTCTCAGAAAGTATGCTATTAATTGAGAACTCTTGGATTAGGTAGATATGGTAATAACTAGTAATAATGAACAACGATGATCATTTGGGCACACTGTATATGCCAGGCATTATGGTAAAATTTTGACATTCATCATCTCATTCAATCCTTAAAAAGATAAAGTAGACTCTATTATTGTCTCCATTTTACAAAAACAGAGACTTAGCTTTAGGCTAAGGAATTTTTCCAAGATGACAAAAGACAGTAAGTGAGAAGCCAGAATGTCAATCCAGGTCCAAATCCAAAGTCCATGTTCTTAACAACTCTGGTCTATTGGAATCAAAACAGAAGGCTTTCAAACAATGGAACAGAAAGGTCATATAAATTTTCTTGAATGTGTGTAGTAACACAGTTATAAATGATTTCTTAAATACAAATTCAAACCTGAATTAGAATCAGATTCAATAAACATTTGTTAGGACCAGGAACTATCCTCCACTCTATCATGTATAGTCTCTATGCAACTTAAACCTCTTATTGGAAATAACTTGGGTGTTAGAGCCACTGCTTCTATTCACCTGTAAGCATCAAGGAAGAACGAAAATTTCAAGTGGGGGGAAGGGCAGCACTGACATCTGGGCTATTTTTTCCTCCTAGTTTTCAGAGTTCACAGCATAAAAGTCATTGTATTGTGTACCTTAATTGATTCAAGGTATATTTATAGTGGCACAAGACACATTTTTAAAATGAAAATTTTGTGTACTTGTAAATACTTAGTAACAGAAGAGGAGACAATTACTACCGTTAAAGGCAGATAACCTTTGTGTACCGAAATACACAATTCTTACAAAATAGTAGAAACTTAATAACAAACAGTATCTAGCCTTTGGATCTTACATTCTCTCACAACAAAGTTCATAAATACCTCCCAAAATCCAAGGCGGGGGGCGCTGACCGTGGTAGAATAACACTATCAACTAAAACCTGTAGAATGCCTAACACATTCTACCCGATAATAGTTAGTAACCTAAACTATACGTTATACAGCACAATTATTCAATTCTGGTCAAATAATCTCATAGAGTAAACAGCAGTCAGCCTTGACTTCTCTGAAACTGAGTGCCTAATGAGCACTCCTCAAGGCGAATCTCGCAGAAACTACGAACAGACAGACGGTAGAACTGATTCTCAGTGCTTTAAGTCCCTTTCATTTGCAGAGCACTTTGTCAACCAGTATCTCTTCTATAGCTCATCTGATCCCCAGCAATCCCGTTAGTCAGTGCTGGCAGCTCTTATTCTGATGCTACATTTGGGGTCTGGGAAGGTTCTCAAGTGAATACTCTGAATTTGGAGTCCGGAAGGAACTTTACACTGTAAGGTGCCGGACAGTTAAAAGTGTTTTGCCAAAGTCTGGGAAAGGGGCCAAGATGCCCTTTAAAACTTCCGACTTCCTGAGAATTTCAGGCAGGAGATCTCTGACCTTCCT